TGACATCATCCACCTCTATGCTCGCGCGCGCCTCGTGGTGGCGGACGCCGGTACGTGAGACAGTGTCAACCTCCACGATAGCCTCCTTGACGTCGAGGTGGTGGTGGCTGGTCAGGGTGGCCACCACCTTCTTCGTCTTCGAGCCGTTGTTGGACACCTTGATCTTCTGCTGCTCCATGACGGTGGTGCTGCTTGGCTTTGTAGTGCCTGTGCCGCCTGAAGTGCTTGTGAACTGTAGGATCGGAGGAGGCTTGTGTGTACTGGATTCGTAGGCTTGGGTGGGCTTTTATAGCGTGGAAGGGCAACATGTGTGTACACACGAGTGTAGATCAGAACGATGAGGAATAATCAGAAATACTTCCTCCAGGGCGTCAATCCGTGACTCTGCGTCCGGACGTGTCTCTCCAGGAGCGGGTCCCAAACAAAAAAACAAATCCATATTTCCTTGTGCTTATTATCTCATCAACCTGTCCCTACCGAGCCCATGGCCCACTACTTGGTGCTTATCCGGCCGGCTCTAAAGCAGCGTGACTGCTCATCCGTCCACCCCCTTCTCCAGCGCCCGCTCGTTGGGCTGCCGCGCCGTTTCCTTTCCTCGTCGCCGGCCGCGCCGCGCGTCCTCTCGCTCCCTACACTACTCACCTGCATGGCAGCCACCTGCGTCGCTCAGCGTGCATGGCTACTCATCCGTCCGCCCCCTTCCCCAGCGCGCGCTTGTCGGGCTGCCGCGCCGTGCCCTTCCCCCATCGCCAATCACGCTGCGCGCCGTCGCTCCCTGTGCCGCTCACCTACGTGGCAATCACCTGCGTCACTCGCTCCCTCGTCGTTCGTTCGTCGTCCATCGTCGTTCGGGCGCGCCGCTGCCCCTATCATGGCCGCTGGGGCACACGTGCTGCAGCGCCTCAGGTCCGGGCACCGACAAGCGTGGCCAATGCTAGTGGTGCTCGCGCGCCACGGCTCGCCGCCGGCTCCCACCCCGATGACCGAAATCGACTGGCACGATCTTTCCTCCTCCATGTTGCATATGTATGTTTCAAGTATTTCAGACGTTTCAGATGTATGTTGCAATTATTTCCATCTTGATGTTGCAAGTAGATTGGGTATGTTGCACGTGTTACATATGTTGCAAATGTTTCAGAGGCATGTTGCAAGCGTTTGTTCAAACCATTTTATCTGTTTCCAGAAGTATGTTGCAAGCGTTTTGATCTGGATGTTGCATATGTTTTCACACATATATTGCAATGCTCCAAAATGTTTCATCTATTTCAGTGTTCTGTTGCAGCAAGTATTTTCATGTTGCAAGTTGCAAGTGTTCTATATGGATGTTGTATATGTTTTCACACATGTATTGCAAGTGTATGTTCCAAATGTGTCACCTGTTTCAGACGTGTATTGCAAGTGTTTTATTTGGATGTTGCATATGTTGTAGTGGTTATACACATATATTGCAAACGTATGTTTTAATTGTTTCACTTTGTTTCAGTATGTTGCAACAGGTGCTACTCCCCACACGCGCTCTGACTCGTGGGATGCACTGCACCAGCATGTGCGTGTTTCAAAAAAAGCAAGAGGAGATGTGGGGCGCATCATGTGCACCAGCATGGACATGCATTCGGGTGCGCGGGTCCATCTGGACGTCCGGGCGCTAGCATAGCCCATGAATAATCTGTCGCTGAGGAGATACGTGAGATACGTGTGTGCATCAGTGCATGCAACTGTGTCCTTTATTTTATTCGCCTTTTAGCTTTGATTTGAAGTATGTGGACTATTATGTTATTATTGGCTCGGGTAGATACTTGGGTTGTGGCTAGGTACATTTTAAATTGCAATTGTTCATGTTTATATGTGGTTCTTGTGTTCTAGTTAGGAAAAATTGGTTTCATAGCACCGAAAGAATGCGAGAATCGGAAAATACCACCGAAAGTTCGTCGTGCCGTAAAATACCATCGAAAGTGAGCATTCCGTCCGCAATCTAGCACTACGTTACTTTCGCTGTTAACGCCGTTGGTTGCGTCCGTCGGAGGACTCGGCTCCAGTGCTTCACTCAAAATTCAAAAACGAGCAGGAGCCATGGAAACACGTGTCCAGGCCTATGTCCGTGTCGTTCGTCGCCGGCAGCGGGATGGCCGACACCAGCCCGCGCCGCACGGCCTCGTAGGCGTCCTGCTGCAGCCACGTGATGGACGTGCCTGAGTCGATGATGACCCCGCCCGTGCCGTCGTCGTTGATGGCGAACACCAGCGGGTCGATGGGCAGGCGCTTGGTCCCCAGGCTGATGCCGTTGACCGACAGGAAGTACATGTTGGGCAGCGCCGGGTTGATGACGAACGGCGTGGACTGCACCGGCGACCCGGATCTGGTGTTGGTGCTGTTGAGGTTCGCGAACACGCCGAAGTAGAGCCTGCTCGGCGTCGGCGAGAGGTACGACGTGAGGCAGTAGGAGAACCTGGACGGCCCGAGCTGGCTCACCATCGACAGCGGCCCACGGCCGAAGCCGACCATGCCGGAGCTGTTGGCGAGGTCGCCCGCGTTGAGACTGCCACACCCGAAGGAGACGTTAGCTGCCCTGACCTTGGTCGAGCTGGCCGCGCCGAACGTGAACGTCTCGTTGGCGAGGACGCCGGCGGTGGACGCGGTGTAGCCGTAGTAATACTGGTACACGCACATCTTCTTGAAGCAGGAGGGGCTGGAGAGAGCGGCTCACCGCGCGCGACGACCGGCACGGGAGGGCGCGGTACGTGGCGGACTTCTTCGCGTCGAAGTAGGGCGTGGGCTGGTCGGCGCAGAGCAGGCAGGGCGCGCACTGCGTCCAGATGAGGTCGCTCCCGGTGTCCATGATGGCCGTGTAGTACAGCGGCGGCGTGCCGATGGCCAGGTCCACCATGTACTCGCCGCTGCTGGCCGTCACGAGGACGCGCGCCGCCGTGATCGGGTCCACCACGGGTGGCGCCGACACGGCGCGGACTGCAGCGCGGCCACGCGGGCCTTGCTCCGGGCAATGGCGCGGTTGAGGAGCTCAAGCTTGGTGTAGGACGTGCCCGCGTCGACGTGGGTCAACTTGAGCTGGAATCCGACGTTGTCGTTGCAATGAGCTCCGAGTTGCCTGGGACGAGGCTGAGACAGACGCCGTTAGCTCCGAAGGTGACGGAACGTGATGGAATGTTACTTTCAGTTAACGTTTGCATCTTTGAATGATATTTTACGTGACGGAGCTCTTTTGATGGTATTTTCTGATTCTTGTGATGTTTCAATGTTATAGAACCAATTTTCCCTTCTAGTTATTAGGATACTTTTCATTATATTAGAGGAAAAAGGAGCGCGAGACACTCTATGGGTGGGGAAATATATATTGTGGAAAATAACAAGGAATAAAAAGATGCATATTATGAGCATGTAATGCAGAAAATCCAATGAAATTAGCTGCTTGTTTGTAAAACAGCGTGAGTTCAATTCCAGTGCAAGAAGACAAATATCAGGCCTGGTGGTAATTAGCAAAAAGTTATTATACCTTTTCGTCCAAGTAATATAACTCTACCAATACACTTTTATAGAAGTGGATTTTAGCAATGGACGATCGATGGCTCACACGTCATCTGCAAAACATTGTATGTAAAAGATCTAGACTTGTTGGGGGAATATATACCTGCACCGTATTTCACTGAACTCGAGATTAGGGGCAGGAGCCACCTTCCAGCCGACAGCGCACGGCTCATGGGACACAAAAAGAATCAAAATTCCTTCACGATGTGATGACATTCTGAGAAGATATGCAGAGCATCTGGATAAAGGATTGCATACACCAACTGAGATTGTCTTCTGATGTGGCATCCATGTAAATGTACGCTCCTTGTATTCGTATCTAATGAACCAGGATACTCCTTTTTTCTCATATAAATTCATTTGAAAACTGAACGTTTCTCTTAAATTTATTGTTTTATTTGGTGTCTGTTCATAACCAAAATTGATAATTTTGTGCAATCTAAAAAAATGGGTGATCTAGTATTAAATACCGGATGGTCCGCTTCTCTTAAATGCATTTGTGGAACGACTAATTTAGAGTCGAAATGAGGGAATTACAGTCTCCGGAAATTTTCTTCTCAAAATTAGGGATCCGGGTATTGTGTATATACCGGATGTTTTTGGACAGTTCAGATCGAGTTTGAGTCACTTTTAGTTGCAAATCTTGATGAATTTCGACTCAAACTTGGAGATATAGATCTCCCACCCTATAAATACAAAGGGTCACGTCGATTCAGGTATCCAATCAATCACTCAATACGACTTTTACTATTTTGCCTTTATCTTTTTTCCTTTTACTCTGTTTTTGTCATCCATAGATTATTGTACTTCCTTCATCTCTACGATTTTTTAAGGCGTCGTAACTGGTCTGCCAACGCTAAGGCATCCCAAAGTGCGCTTGGCCAAACAGAGTCCATCTCGAGCAATCATTTGTTGGTCTGCAAAATGATGGATGTCGTCGTCAAAAGCCCAAACCAAGTACTATCTAGTTGACTTGCAAACTTTGTATCCGATACATATATAATATACCTCAGTCTCATAATAAGTATGCAATTCTAGATCTGATCAAAGTCAAACTATCTTATAAGTTTAAATAAGTTTATGGAAGGTATTATCAATATGTATGACTCTGAATAGGTATATTATAAAAATTATATTTATGATGAATCTAACGAGATTTATTTAGTCTGATAAATATTAGCATATTTTTTATATAAATTTGGTAAAACTAACAATTGTTTAACTTAGTACATTTTAAAACTGTATTCTATTTTCTGACAGAGAGAATGTGCATGATAACGTAGGTAGTACGGAGAAGCTTTATTCAGGTCACAAGCTTATTGTCGTAATCCGTACAGAAGCTGAGTGCGTGCACGCCAGCCAAGTACGATGACCCTGCACAATCTTATACGCACATGCATACATAAGGCACGCACGCACGCACGGATGGGCGTGCATGGTACGGTGGTGCGGCCGGCGGCTCAGTTAGCCCTGGCGACGAAGCTCTCCTTGCGCTCGTGGAACTCGCCGGTGCAGGTGTTGAAGTCCTCCTCGACCCTGGTCTCGCGCACCACGACGCCGTGGCCGCCGTGGTGACCGTGGTGGCCGCCGGTGCGTGACACCGTGTCGACCTCCTCGAACTTCTCCTTGACGACGTGTTGCTGGACGCTGCCGCCGGTGCGTGACACCGTGTCGACCTCCTCGAACTTCTCCTTGACGACGTGCTGCTGGCCGCCGCCGCCGTAGCGGCCGAAGCCGCCCGCCACCGACCTAACCTCCTCGGAGCTGTAGTCCAACTCCTGGCAGTAAGCCATTGACGATGCTTGGTGTTTGTGTGTGTAGTGCGCTGTGCGTTGAAGTGCTTGTGTGTGGATTGTTGGTGCGATGGATGCATGGTAGCGTTCGTCGGGTGCGCTTTTATAACGTGGAAGCACACAAGTGGAGTGAGGAATAATAATTTGTTCATCCTCAACTTGATGAGGGAGAAAGATACCTGTAGTGTGTGCTTGCGTACTCCGCTTTTTAGCATTGATCTAGATGTATTTGGACTATGAACTTGTAACGGCGACCGATTATTACACATAGTTGGGTGGCTAGAGCCCTTTTTAACAGCATTTTTTTATCAAGTTGAGATGATGTTTAAATTGTGCTCTAATCACGATGTACTTTCAGAGTTTGAGGATAAAATAGAATAGATAATTTAGATGAGCACGGAGCTGTGAAAAATAAGAAGAAAAAAGTAGATGTCACGATCAATATATTGAAGCTTTTGTATGCTCCATAGCTGCTTTGGTTGTAAAGCGGTGAGTTCAGTTCCAGTGGGAAAAATAGAGGGAAACGAATACCATGCCCGAGTAATAAATTACTCATCTGAGTGCCAATTTGTTCGTTTCTCCTCTCTTGGTACAAAGCCACCTCTCACCGGTCAGGTAAGAAGAATATACTTATCACTAAGGCACTTATAGCCAATGGAATGGGGAATAGATACTTGCGTCTCGGACTCTCGGCCTGCACCGCATTTCGTCTCTTCATTCACTATAGAGAATCGAGATGGAGACGGAAGCCGCCTCACCGACGGACAGAAGAACCTATATAATAAGATTCAAAGAAGAGAGATGCTCAGATGCAAAGCAGCGGCCTGCTCCGGTGCTCTGTGCTCCCATCTCCTTTCGGGGTTCGGGCAGTCATTCCTGACGAACCCGCCGCTGGTTTCATCAGGAATCTGCTGAAGGGTTTGCAGTGCATGCAACCATCGAGGTTAAAATTCTGCCGTGGCATCTTTTTTTTTTTTTTTTTTGAAACAATAATTTTGCCGTAGCATCCACAAGCTTGCAAAACACAAACAAAAAGCCGAGACTCGGGGAAACAATTTGTAACCATAAATCGATCATCTGGGATACTCTACGATGAACAAAATTTGCTACACCTACCACGTTCAAGCCATATAATTCATACTGTTCCATTAGCTCAGGCTCAGTCGCTCCGATCAAGTTCTATGTTTCAGAAATAATAATTTTCCATTTTGAGGAACCAAAAGCCTTTTCTCTCCTGGTATTTTCTCCAGCTTCAACTTTCCGTGTGGCTTGCTTGAACCGTCTTCTAGGCTTTATCAGTATGTTGAAGTATTACAACAGTGTGGGTCAAGGCTAATGCCTCTTCCTCTTCTTGCTGCTCTTCAGGTGCTTCTTTCGGTTTCCGCTCTTGCCATGCGACTTGCTTGAACCGCCATCATCTTCCTTGTCTCCGCCAATTAGCATGTTCATTCCAAGGTCGAAACCATCTGTTAAGCCTCCTAGCCTGTTGCCAGAATCAGATATCAGTTGGGAGCGTAAGTTGGATATTAAGACAAGCTGAAAATCCCAAAGGGCAAACCAAGTGCCGAATAATACTCGTAGCTGACCAAAGTCAATTGTGTATTTACACAGACAATAAGCAGCAGCAAAAGATAAACTATCTGAACATACCCATGAAGTTGTCTCCTTATGCGCTTCTCGATCTGCTTATCACGTTTGGTTACAGGAGCCCGAGTGAACAACTCCTCTTCCTGCTTCTCTTGCTCCTCTCTCTGTCGCATGTACCTCCCAAATTCCCTGCTTTCATCGCCCACTGTTTCCTTCCACTGTAAATTCCAGAAAGATTGTTTAACACGACAATAAACAGCACATAGCTTACTCTGCATCCAAGACAGCCTGCTAATAAATTCAGAGCAAAAGTTAAGCAAACCTCTTCAGGTCTGTCCGCAGCATCATCAATTATTTCTTTAATATAAGGATTTTCTATTGCCACTCGGGCTAGTGCTTTATCTCTCCTTGAATCTTTTTTACGACGCTTCTCTTCATCATCTATGCTAGTAGGCATAAATTTCGGAGGACGGTAAACACCATCAGCATCCTGAAATAAAGTGGTTACACATCAGAACAGCAGAAGGTATAGACTGATAAGCCACATGAACTGAGAAATAAACCTCACTGCTCCAGGAAATGGTGAGTTTGAATGACAGGTATTAATGACAATTTTTGCATTTAGCACTTACACAGAATATGCAAAATTCTTAAAGGAACAAAAACAATATTTTAAATGGGACAAATACACAACACAAAAACAATGCTAAAAGTGGATTCCTAAAGGGACAGGAAGAATTCATGTCAGTATCAAATTCAGCACTATAGGGATGCCAACTAAAATTCTTGAGATGAGAAGGGATGTTGATTCATTATTGCCAGTGACAATTATATTACGAAGGACATGCTGTAGTAGCAGGAAAGATGGGAAAAATTATTCATGTGAATGACATTGCACTTATTGATATTTGGGCTAAAACAAACTGATATGTTCCAATATTGTAAGTGCAGACAAGTTATTAATTAATATAGTCCTTTCACAAAGGAATGTTCATGTAGGACGTTCGAGCATGCACAAAAGGAAGCATCTGCGATGTAACGAGTGTATAGAAACAGTAAGGAAGTGAAAAGCATCACCTGCCCATCAGGACCAGCCTTTGTGTCCATCATATCTGGGTTTGGCCTATACTTCAGGGGGTCTTCCTCATCCGAATGCTCGTCCTTCCCCTTCGCCACAGCATTTCCTGTCTTCTCTCGAGCAGTTGCATTGTCAGCAGCGTTGGTGAGCTTCTGGATTTGGTACTCGGCCTTCTTGTCAATCGGACGAATCTACCGCACCAAATTCAAAAGAAAGCCATCACTTAGTTAACCAACTACATCAAGGCTGGAAAATGAACAATCCGAAGGCACAGGCAAACCTTCTCCAGAAACAGCCTGATCTCGACAAGGCTCCGTACGACGGGGTGGCCATCCACCGAGAGCCCCTTGGCCTTGCGGAGCAGGTAGTAGACGATGTCCTGGCAGTAGCCAAGGAGCAGGTGGTTCTTCGCCTCTAGGTACCCGATCCCGTTGGCCGTCGGCAACTGGTTCTCCTTGACCTATCGACACGCGAGGACAGCGAAACCGAATTCATTCTCCCATAGTACCAAATTCGCGGTTTAAGAAAATGGGAGAGGGAACGGAGGCTTGGAAGGGGAAGACATGAGTAGATTACCTTCCGGGTGATGGCCTCGACCTTGCCCCTGACGAGGTCCAATCCATCCTTCATCTCCTTGAGAGCGGCGAGCAGCCCCGGCGCGTCGTCGCTGCAAGCAACAAACGCTCAAGTCAAAATTTGTTTTAGGCGCTAAAGCTGGGGAGAGGCATCTAGAGGTTGAGCGTACCGTACGAGGAATTCGTCTTTGCCCTCGCCGTTGGCTTCGGCGGCGGCGGAGGATGCTGCCGCCATGGTGGCGAGCTTGTCCGAGAAATAGGCGGCGCCTAGCAACGCGGCTGCGTCACGGGAAGAGCGAGCGTAACGGTGTTTCGCGTGGCGGGGACTGGAGCAAGCTGCCGACGGAGCGGTGACTCGTCCCGAATCGCGGTGGCGGTGGCGATGGCGGTGGCGGAGGCGGCGCTGGGGTTTAGGGGCATCGAAATCCTCTAACGTCGCCCCGACTCGCCTGCAGCGACGTATGCCTGCAGTCGCGCAGATCAGACCGTCCGTTCCCATCCAACGGTGGGACGCTCCACCCCTCCCAACTAGCAGGCCACACGGCTGCAAAGTCCATTAGCTCATCGAAGCCCACCACCAGACCACACGCATATCTCCATGGTCGACGACTCTGCCGGCGACTCGTCCAGTCGTCCTTTTCCAGGTGCTGCCGCTGCCCAGGCAGGTGTCTTTGGGGGAGTTTACCACATTGCTCGCCACCAGCGCGGCCGCCCGCGCCGTGCTCGGGCATCATCGCTTTGCCTACGCGTACCTAAACCACTATCCAGGTGGAGCCCCTGATTTGCGAGCTTCAGCTGTCTAACCACTTTCAGCAGGCTGCAGGCAGAGCAATTTAGCACAAGTGCTTGAACTGGAAACATCAAGGTGCCATGCATGAGGTGTTCGCACTTGGATTGGAAGACTTCTGTGTTTTGTAGTTGTGCTTGCATTGTGTAGCAATTGTGCAGGACATTAGATAGGAAGCACAAGTCATGGCAATTTGTGCAAATTGTAAGGGCCCGTTCGTTTCAAGCGGAACGGAGTGCCGGAACCAATCCTGGCCGGAAGGCAGCTGTATTTTATACCGGTCAGCTATCACCGGGAAGCGTTCTGACCGAAAATCGACGTAAACGAACGGGCCCTAATTGTGTTGGAACGTTACGATAACTAGGTGAATTTCCCGTTGCTGCGGGAATTTCAGGGACGATGAAAGCATTAGGTGTAAATTACGAGAGTTTCAGAGATTAATGTATGAAGGGAAAAGGTAGCATTACCAACCTGATTGACATACGCAACATAATATAGAGATATTCATTTTTTTTAAGAAACAATATTAGCCTTTATTAACTGAGAACATGGGATAACAAAGAAAACAAAAAGGAAGAGTTGAGAGACTTATCAAATAAAACATGCTTTCACATCCAAATCAATTGAGCCTCTATTATCTATGTAATTTTATTTCTGCTAGAAAAGTTACCTAGCATTGACAAATCAAGGAAAAATATAAGTTTATATGAACTCATGTATTCATCAGATAGCAAAGGACGGAGGTAGTTATTGGTGAATACCTTCTGATTGTTGGCTGTCGAATATATTTAAGTCAAACATTACAGAAATATACAAGGCATATCATCCGAAGTACAATGCTACGACCAATAATCAGCTAAAAACCTAATGACTAATCAGTTAGAGCGCTAGGCACGTAATGATAGAACAAATATGCAGCAGAAATGAAAATAAAAGAACCACGAGGGATGACAAAAGAGAGTAGTGACAGTGCCAACAACAAATAAACACGTAAACTCATAGAGGACAACGTGGTAATTGATGCCTGCGTAGTAATGGATTGCCTCCTTGCAGAAGAGACAGAGGCCTCCTACCTGTAGAAAAAGCAGAGCAAGCTGAGAACACTGGCAATGGGTGAGAGGGTGGGCGGAGGACAGACGTGTCTTGCAGGTAGCGAGGCCAAACTGCCGAAATTGTTTCTCCAAACCTTGCTGAGTCTGTGAACAATCAAACACCTGCATATGGTGATTTATATGAACAATTAGATTAGGGAACCGTCAGACAATGAATTGATTAGATGGAAACTGAACTTGAAGGAAGGTGTGGGAACAATGTAGAGTAGATTGAGGAGTCGTTTCAGATGCATGAACATTAAGCAATTCTTATATTGTGGGGGAGGGGACTGGACATGCGTGTGGAATTGAATGCCTGCCGGTTTGCCTCCTTGGCAATGTGGAGGTACTGCATGTCTGCACTCTTTGCATGGATGAAAATCAATGGAAAAAATTTATTGCATGGGTGGTTTTAGATGGGCTTCACACAATGCTGTGGACGTAGGTGACTCTTGGCCTGGGCTCAGCGGTGCTGACGGAAAATGCATTTAAGGACGAAAACGGTCGAACTCGGTCGAAAAACTCCTCAACCGTTTTCTACTTTTACATTTGAAATACGAAAGCGAAAGTGAAAGCGGACAAGCCGGACACGAAAACGAACACGAACTTACGGAATATCTAGAATTTCGGAAACGAACCAATTCGAGCGGAATTATGTCGAACACGGTCGGTATGCGAAAATTCAATACGAAATACCGATCCACAGTGCATAGCATTAAACAAATACACGACCAAATACATAACAAGTTCACAACTAACAAGTGCATGATCTAGCTCAAGTGTATAGCATTAAACAAGTGCACGACCAAATACATAATAAGAGAGATGGGGCTGGGCGCCGTCTATAAGAGAGGGCAGCTAGCCACCAGTAGAAAGAACGCAGTTGCGTGCTGTAATTGGGTTGTATGACTTGTGCAGTTGGCTAAATTCGGTTTAAACCGAATTTTGAATTCGGAATATTTCAAATTAAAAGTAAAAAAGTAGAAAACGGTCGAAAAATGTGTAAACCGTTTTCTACTTTTACATTTGAAATACGAAACATCTCAAATGCGAAAACGAAAACGGTAAAGTCGGACAAGAAAATACGGATTCGATCGGATTAAATATAAAAAACGATGCGGTTCGGTTCGGGATATTTCCGTTCCGTTTTCATCCTTAAATGCATTAACCTGCATGCAGCCATGCTAAGGAACGCACGCCCCGTAATCGTTATTGAAAACTGAATGGAGGGAGTAATAAGCGGTGACGTGGTTGGCAGAGAAGACAGGAAAATCTGCTTATGGACTCTGGGTACCATATTTGTATAGATCCCATCTGCATCACTTTGCTTGCATTTTTTATCTGTTATCTTTGTCCTTTGGCTGTGCTAACGGGTCATCTTTTCTGATGTCGGTTCTTTCTGTTGGGTTATCCATCATATTGTTGTTAGCGGATGCGGCGGGCCAGACTGCTCACGCTGCTAGGGATCTGCGCCTCCGCCGAGCGCCGCCGCGTGCTCGCATTTTTATCTGTTATCTTTGTCCTTTGGCTGTGCTAACGAATCATCTTTTCTGATGTCGGTTCTTTCTGTTGGGTTATCCATCATATTGTTGTTAGCGGATGCGGCGGGCCAAGCTGCTCGCGCTGCTCGGGATCTGTGCCTCCGCCGAGCGCCACCGCGTGCTCCGGTCCCAAGGGTGAGTTCATCAAAGGCGCCTCTTTTTCTGACAGTTATGCCCCGGCGCGGGATCAGCTTGAGCTGAAATGTGTCGTTGGTTTACTCTTACATTGACAGTTATGCCAACACTGATGTTGTACTTCACTTTAAGTTAAAAGACAAAATACCTTGGTTAGAATAAGATGAAGGTGTGGGATATCTGTTGTTCTGTCCGAACTGGGCTTGAATTCTTGGAGCAAGCTCTAATGGCAATTCATTTCTCTAAGTCCATCAGAATAGTTAAATTATTATTGAATTTGAGAACTTGTCCAGTTCTAAAGATGTTAGCATTTAACAAACACAGTATTAGATTTGGCACCTTCTTCCATTTTATTACTTATACAAATGCCTTCCTTTTCTTATATCCTGTAGATTGGTACAACAAATTATCGATGCTATTTTGGTTTTGGACATTGATGATCATCCCTGCACTATTGCTGCAGGAGCTCTTTTATTTGTTTTGGCAAGTGATGTGAGTACCTCTTAATCTCAGTCTAAATCCTGCATGCTGTTATGCTTATTAAATACCTCTCATCTCGAAGTCGTCTTCGCCTAGATGATTACAAGGTGGAGAAAAGCTATTAATTCCCATTGTGTTTTGTCTCTTAGCTGCAACCATTTCTTTTGCACTACAATGCCACTTGTTTTCACATTACGAGGCTGGCATGTCCTATGAGAAACGTTTGAGCTGTTTTATTATCAGGTAGTTCACTGTGTTGTTTCTGAAACAACATTTTTCAGTAACAGCAAAGACAAGCAGCCCTCTTTTCTGTTCTTTCTGGTAGATTACCTGTATGGTTTTTGTTTAATCCTTTTTGGTGTTTTGGGAGCAGTTCGATTTGCAATCTGCTACTGTTCCATTTCTATTTCAGAATCAACAACAGCAGCTGTATTTTTGTAGCGTTTCAGGTTTAGTTCAGTAATGCAGTGTCCTCCTTCAACCTGTTAGGCTGACTGAAAGTTTTGATTCATCGCCTTTCTTCAATGATTTAAGTTTAGTTTTTCTGCAACAAATTGTTTGGGTCGATTGCGCTTTTCATTGTCGTATGCAATAGCCTGTTCGTAAATTCATTAGCAGCTTATCTCAGTGGACGTCAATCAATAACAGAAGGACCCTAGCAGAAGCATATGACCAACAGGTAGCAAGTAAGTGGCAAGGTTTAGTTTTCGTCCTGTCAACTATTGCTTTCTTGCTTCACTGACCTGCCGAAGATGAATCCGAGGAAAAGACATTGAAGATGACGATAGCTTTGGAACAGGAAGCCGAGGTGGTGGCGGCCGCATCAAAGGAGAAGGTGTAGCAAGACGAACCGAAAGGTGAGAGGATTTCATTTCCCAGATCGACTTGCTTCTACTGTCTGATTGTTGGTGGACAGCTTTTTTTTATGCTGATTTCGTTATCACGTAGCTGCTATCTCGGATGTGAAATGTGATGAGCCAAAGGAGGAGAAGGTGCGGAAAGAGGAACAAAAAGTTGAGGATTTCAGTTCCCCAATTGCTTTGGTTCTACTATTCAAAGGAGGAGAAGGTGCGGAAAGAGGAACAAAAAGTTGAGGATTTCAGTTCCCCAATTGCTTTGGTTCTACTATTCAATTTTTTTGGAAGGAGACAACAAAGAGGGAGAACTGGAGGAGGGTGAGGAAGGTGAAATTTATTTTTGC